ACACAGACCCCGGCCGGACCATCGCGGGGAGTGGTGAAACGAGCCCCAGGCGCGGTCACCGGCCGGACGACCGGAGTCTCAGCCCGGATGGCCCGGGACCACGGGCCTTTGGCCGACGCATCCAGAGAGCGTCTTTCCCACAGCGCTTCCGACCGCCTACCAACATCACCAAGTATACCGGGAAGACGAACCCCGATATATGGCTTGAAGACTTTTGGCTCGCCTGCCGAGCCGGTGGAGTGGATGATGACCACTTCATCATTCAGTACCTCCCTATCTACGTAGGGGAACATGTTTGAGCTTGGCTCGAATTCCTCCCGCGCGACGCATTCGCGACTGGGCAGACCTCAAGAGGGTCTTCGTCGGGAACTTCCAGGGGACGTATGTCCGCCCTGGGAACTCCTGGGACCTCAAGAGCTGCCAGCAGGAGCCCAACGAGTCCCTGCGGGATTACATCCGCAGGTTCTCAAAGCGGTGCAACTCCCTTCCTGATGTCGTCGATGCGGACGTCATCAACGCATTCCTCTTCGGGACAACCTACGAGTCTCTGATCCACAAGCTTGGCTGCCTGAAAAAACCGTACCACCCGCGACCTGCTCGACGTCGCCACGAACCACGCCTCCGGCGAGGAGGCGGTCGGAGCGGTCTTCAACGGAGGCCGAGACCCTTCAGTCGGGAGAATCTACTGCTTTGTACAAGCCCTGACCACGAATTCTATATAAGGGCGGCCAGGGCACCCATCCGAAACCATTCTGATCCAACTCTCATTCATTCATTCTTACACCGTAGAAGGGCTCCAGAAGCTTTCCTTCGGGCAGCCCGTCTCCTAGCTCTAGATCTCCTACCTCTTCCACCATTTTTGCACCCCTAAAAGCTTTAGTTTGGTTTTGGTGAATTGATGAAACCCTAAGTGTTAACCTAATTTATCTAAGTGATCAGGAGATACGTGGCACGCTTCCAAGTGGCGGAGCAACGATGAAGATCATGATGATGGTGTGACCATAGTGATGGTGCCTGGACTTGGAAAAGAAGAAAGAGAAAAATAAAAAGCTCAAGGCAAAGGTGAAATTTGATAGGACTTGGAAAAGAAGAAAGAGAAAAATAAAAAGCTTAAGGCAAAGGTGAAATTTGATAGGAGCTTTTTGGTTTGGTGATCAAGACACTTAGCGAGTGTGATCACATTTAGGATCAATAGCCGTACTATTAAGTGGGGTGAAACTCGTATCGAAATACGGTTATCAAAGTGCCACTAGATGTTCTAACTCATTGCATATGCTTTTAGATCTAGTGAAGTGCTAACACCCTTGAAAATGCTTATCAAAATATGCTAACACACGTGCATAAGGTGACACACTTGGTGGTTGGCACATTTGAGCAAGGGTGGAGAAGGAGGTGAAGTGGGATCGGACTTAGGCCATGAAGTGACAAGACGCAGGCCTGGTGAGTCCAGTCAGTAGAAACCGTGGCAGCGCGACTTAGGGTGTTGCATCGGACGCTGACCTGCGTCCGATCGAGGTGCATCAGACGCGTCCGATCACTGTTTGGGCGCTCTAGAACCTCTCTGGAAATGACCTGACGCCATGTAGTCATGAGCACCGGCGTGTTCGGTCATTAGTTGGAAGCACGCGGTGTTGAATTGATCTGACGCAGCACGGGTGAGTCAGGTCATTCGCTGGTGAGTCCGGTCGTCACTAACTCAATCGCGTGGGAATTTGTGACCGTTGGGATCGGATGGTCATCTTTCAAAGGCAAGAACACATGGCAGCGGATCTGCGACCGGACGCTGAAAGTGTGCGTCCGGTCAGTTTGACCGGAGTGTCCAGTCACCCCGAGTTGGGCTGCAGTGAGAGCCCAACGGCTCTATTTCGTGGAGGCTTCTATTTAAGCCCCCATGGCCGGCTCAAGCTCACCCTCTTAGCCATTTGCATTGACATAGCAACCATTTGAGCTTAGCCAAAGCCCTCTCACTCATCTCCATCATAGATTGATTATCTTTGTGAGATTGGGAGTTAATCTAAGTGCATTGCTTGAGTGATTGCAACACTTGGTATTCGTATTTCTCTATGGATTTCGCTTGTTACTCTTTGTGGTTGCCGCCACCTAGACGGCTTGGTGCAGCGAGGATTGTCGAGCGGAGGAAGGTGCTTGTCTCCGGCTCCGATTGTGGTAATTGTGAGGGGTTCTTGACCTTTACCCGGCGGAGAGGCAAAAGATACTCTAGTGGATTGCTCGTGGCTTATGTGATCCTCACCTTGTGTTGGTTGTGCAGCACCCTATTGAGGGCTTGGCGTATGATGCCAATTAGCGCGTGAACCTCCAAGTGAGTGTATCGCCACAACAGGGAGTAGCTTGCCGACAAGTGAACCTCGATGAAAAATCATTGTCACCTCTTGTCACCGGGACTCTATTGTAATTGATTGGCTTCATCTTGTGATTGGCACACCTCTCTACACGGCGATATAAACATCTCAACCACTTGTGTATTTATATTCATAGTGTAGCTAAGCTCTTTATTGTAATTAGTTTTGAGAGCTAGCTTGTGTCGTATCTAATGGTTAGTGAGTCTCTTCAGTTAGTCATTGGGAGTTCACTAACTTAGGGTAGTGACATAGCCTTTGCGTGCCTAGAGATCATAGAAACTAGAATTGTGGTAGGTAACTTGCATTTTAGTAGGCTAGCACAACATTTGCTTCGCCTCATAGTTGTTTAACCATTTTGTTTAGTGTTGTTGTAGAAATTTTTATAGGCTATTCACCCCCGTCTAGCCATTAGGACCTTTCAACCCCCCATTGTAAGAACTTCAGAGCATTCAAGCGAGAAACACGCACTCAATCATCTCTGAGACTAGACGTAGAGCTCCGGCCTGAACCAACATAAATCCTTGTATCTTTTGGATGCTACCGTCATCTTCCTAGAGCAGCGTAGCAATCGTATAAATTTACTAGTCCGGTTTACAAAACACTGACAATGTGCAACTTGTTAAACTTTGCTTAGCTTTGGAAATTTGCAAATTTTGCCATGATTTTTTTTAAAATGTTGTCCAAATGTTTGATGTCAAAATAGAAGTTAAAGTCAAAGAGTAGTAAAAAACCTATGGGAAAATTCACATGGGAAAACTAGCTTTTTAGGTAAGTTGACACCATTAACTCCTCTGAACAGTATCGGGGTAAACTTTGCCTTCATTTGAAAAAACAGGTGCAAAATCACAATTAGACTTCTGTCGGTGTTTTGTGGACTGACCAGCAAATTTAGCGCCGCGCTGGTCAAGAGAGTCGATGGTGGCACACGAGACACAAGGAGTTATACTGGTTCGGGACGAGACCCTACGTCCAGTCTCGAAGATATGCGAGTTTGTGTTCCTCAGTTCAAGTGCTCCGAAGGCTTACAATGGGGGGTTCATAAGTTTGGTTCTACGGAGAGAGAGGGTTCGAGATAGGAGGATTCGATCGTTCTGAACGAAGGCCCGGCTCCCCTTATATAGGATTGGGGGCGGGTGACAATTGAGATGAGATGGGGTTCTCCCGACCTGAGTGGCTCAGGTCAGGAGCCCGAGGGGAGGGAGAAGTTGGTGAGCTTGGTCGGTGGGCCGTCCATGTCTTGTCCTTGCTCCTGTAGATACATCTGAGTATGGTCGCCAGGTTCTTGCCCCTCATGCCAAGGCATGGCGCGCCATGGCCACACTGTGCCGGTCATGGGGTGTCATGATGGCACTATGCGGGTCGTGATTGTTCACCAACTGTCCTGTGCAGCATGTGAGCACAGTGCGAGTCATGGACTCCATCCTGGCTCTCGTTATCCCAGGGAGGTGTCGTGGCACTGTCGTGCAAAGAGGATGGCTGTCCTTTGCGGCTGCCTGCCTTCTTGGTCGCGGCAGCGTTGCCCCGACCCTCCGTGGTTGGGTCAGGGGTCCTTGGATCTGGCTGGTTTGGTGGGAGTTGACTCCCGGTCATGTGCCCCATACCCATAGTGGGTATGGCAGTATGCCCGTCCGTCGAGTCTGGCAGGGTATAGGTGGAGCTGAGCCACGTACTGTGACGTCCGAGCCATGGAGTAGTCTTGTCCATCTGAGGGGGGTGGCCTAAGGGGTGACGCTCTACCCCAGGACCCTGCGGTCTGAAAGGTGGCCGTCCTTCTCTGTACCTAGAGGACTGCGCGTGGAGCATGCGCGTCCCGTCCGGGCAGGCGCATTTAATGTTCCACCCACCTTCTGTCCTTCCCTAGCAGCCAAGGCCAGAGGTGGTCGAGGTGGCTGCACGGTTCATGATCGAGAGACGGGAGTGGTCGAGGCAGGCCGTATATCATACGGTTCAGGGGGAGGAGTGGTCGAGGCGGGCCGCGGGAGCTAGGTTGTGACCGGCTGGGTCGCCCTAAGCGGTTGGTTAGGCGTGCCTAGGGGTACATGGTAATGTGCCCTCGACAACTTCAAAACAAGGGTAAAAGCACGGTAGCCCTTTAATTAAAGAGAAAGAGAAACCACCTGGCACCTAGTTCCTCCTAGGCTAGCCAAGTTTTTAATAGTGTTGTGAACTAATCCCTTGACTACTGTGACATTACATTTAGTCATAGAGCAAAACTTGTATATTTCAAGTTACACCACTTTGTTTGGATGTGTGATCAGCATATTTTTGTTATTCGCTATCTAAACCTCTGTAAATATATATATAAATTCCATTTAATAAAAATGCAAAAGTAAAATCAATAAAACACTAACATATAAAGGGATATAATTTAACCTTATTCTTGAGAAATTATGGATTTGTAGACAATGATTTTATGAGATAACTTCTGTCCTGTTGCGCATAACATCAATTTGCACGTTAGGATTAGCCAATTAATCACAATAAAACACTTGGGAGAAGAATAAATAAAAAAGGACTACCAAGTAAATTACCTGCAATTTTGTTGTTGTTTAAGGAGAAAATTAGACATAATTATTTAGCTCAATGATGTAGTAATAGGAGGAAACATAATATGGTTGTTGGTTTCATTACATGGCCTACCTTCACCCATAGTAAGGAACAATCAAAGTTTGTGAGGAACCACTTATGTGCGTTCATATTAAATGAATCAGCTTCTTCCACTCCATTTAGGTAATGTCGATATTCTGGGCATATGCAGGCACTTCCCGCATAGGCAGCATCAATGTGGAGCCACATGTTATTGGCCTAAAAGAATTATTAAATAAAAATGTTTAATGGAATTCTGTATTCCATACCAAATAAAACTGATGTGTTCATTCAAATATAGAAATTGCACAGTCCTGTTCTGAATATGGAACTAATGGCATTGTGGAGACCAAAATTTCAGTGAATATCCTGGACATTGGACAATAATACAGTACTGGTGCCCAGTGTATAAGCGAGACAAGCAGGGCTGTTGCTAGGCAAACTCAGACACAAATATTACTTGAAAGTCGGTACGAATTTAGAACTCAAAATTTAAGCATGCTTTTTATGAAGACTAATTTTCTTTTAAAGAAACATGTTAATCAAGAACAGATAGAAATACTGGTTCTTGTGGTGTTTCAAAGCGAACAACATGCATCAATAATTATGATTTCTAACAGGGCCTGACAAAGAAAATTATAAATTAAAAAAATATCTTTGTGCCAATATAAAGAAAAGAAATGGAAACAGCAAACAGTAAACACAAACAGATTAAATGAGCCCATTATATAAGTCAGTCCACAAATATCTCTTATTATCAGGAGTAATTCATAAGTCATGTCATAACTATATCCACCTTTGCTATTTGTCCTAACTCAGGCAATGGGTCCACAGCTGATGAAGATGTGGTGCCTACCTGCATTAGGTGTGTTAGTGTATTAAAAAAACATTCTACAATAGAATGTTGGCTTCATTTGGAGAAAACACAAGCTGTGGTTTGCAAGTTACATATAAGTATACTTCATATCCATTGGAAAAGAGCATTATAACATGGCAGTAAGCAAGATTTTGAGTAAATCAAAAGCAAATACCAATATGTAATGAACCAAAAGATAACTCTACCATTTATTTATTTACATGAGTCATGGATGTGCCATCATCCATGAGCGAGTCAAAGTGAATAATTCAATACTAACTAGTAAATAGTTAATTTCAACACCGTTTGAATCTATAAATTTCAAATCTAAAAGCCATAACCATTATTTCATTTTGCATTGGATCTCAACAGCAGCAATCAAGTAAAAGAATGTTTTACAGCATTACAAAAAAGATTTCAATTTGCCTAGCCTGAACCATGCCCCAAAAAAAGCAACAAAATTTTATTGTTGAAGACATGATTGAGTTAAATGGCAAACATGATTAATAAGATTAACTGAATCTTGATGTAATATCTGAATGTGAATTTTGAGTAATTATACAAATGTAACTCAAGTTAAATGGCAATGATCAAACCCACAAAAATGTATTTCAAGGTCTACTCTAGGAAGTTTGCATATGAAGAAAGTGGTGCTTATTACTTACTGTTGCACAGATGAAAAATGGTATTAAACCAGATGACAAGTCTGTGGCAATGGCGTCACTAATGGCTAGAGGTGCAACGGCATAGTTTTTATCGCAATCAGCCTTCACCAATCTCACATTCTCTGGGAAAATCCCAGCAATCTATAATCAGAAGCATGTCAGCTCAAAAAGCAGAAAAGAAGTTTAAAACTATACATGGCCGATAGTCCCCTTCGTTTAACACAATGTGTGCAGCGTACAACATATAATCAGAAATTTTCCAATAGAGAGTACCTAGTTATTTTATTGACAAGTGACACTCAAATACCTGGCATGCCTTTTGGAGAGCAGAATGTGTCTGATCTGATGCATAAACTACTAGTTTTTCAAGGGACGTCTTCCCATGCTTCCTTAAAGTCCTGTCTCGTGCAGCCAAAAGGACAACAAGAACTGCTTCACTGGCAGTGCCCTGGATTACACCTCCACCAAGTGCTGCAAAGATGGAAACAACAAAAGTAACTCTGAATGCCTGATTAGAGCAAGCAACATAAATATGCAGGCTTTTGCTATTCAGAAGATGGATGTTATATACCAGACAAAATATTAGTACGTATTAGTTTTCATATCGCATATGTAACTTAAATATATTATATCACCCTATTTAAGACTTTGTATCACCTCAATCTAATGTTCTTGAAAATTAATAAAACCTTCCTTTATCTAAAAAAATCACCCTAACCCACAACGCTCTTAGTTTCTCAACTAACACATTTAATTTAGTTCTTTTATTTTGAAAGCTGAGGTATAATTTAATAAGGAGGTGATATACAATACTAAAAAGAGAACCAACTAATATTTTGTGTTGAGATGACCAAACATTTCAAATAGCATGCATCATTGAAACCAAATGTTATTGAACACTTACCAGTAGACAGGAACTGACTTGGGAGCCTAAGCATTTTGGCAAACCAATCCAAGACAATAACCTCTAGCTCAGTTGCAGCAGGAGAGGTTATCCAACTGAATCCGACTATGTTAAAGGCTGCACTAAGCATCTCCCCAAGGAAGCCAGCAGTGCTGCTATTGGAAGGATAATAAGCGAAGTAATTTGGACTTTGCCAATGTGTAACTCCGGGTACTATCTTCTCTCGTATATCTGTGCATATTATATAGCATTTATCATAAATCAGAATAGAAGAAGTAAAGGGTTCTGGCTCTATGCTTAGCCATTATGGTTTGCTTGGAGCAGAATATGGAAAGTGTGAATTATAATGTTACTTGAAAGTGAAGCAGAAGGAAATGTTATTACCATAAAAAAGGGCCTCCAATGTATCGGGTTTGCTGGGAGCAGTATCCGGTAGGAGTTCCTTTAGATATCCTGGCTGCAAACAAATTCCCCGGTCAATCATTACTGGAAGTTTCACCATTTCATGATTTTTAACGAGGTACCTGTTGCTGCACTAAACTCTTACCTTGTATAAAAAATAAATTACTGCATATTCTTTTTCTGAAAAATGAATAAATGATAAATATATTTTAACAGAATACTCCTATTATGGACAGAGTGATGCTTCATGTTTAAAATATCGAGTATTATCCTTTTATCTGAGTGAGTTAGCATAACTATGTCACGAGCATAGGCTCCTCATTTATTTGCCACATGCGCATCGGTGACTTGTTTGAAACCATGACATAGGTGATTTTTAAGGTAACCATGACTTGTAATAATAGAACAACAATGCATAATGATACTACCCTACGATGGCACAATGGAACAATGGACAAACGCAGAGAGCCAGAGACATGCTTCACTGGCTTCTCTTGAGGGGGATTTGTTTGGTGAACATTGGAACGTCCTCCAATCACTCTACCAGGCAATAACCATGGTGAATGTTGGGGACGGCACAACAAATTCATTCTGGTATAACGCTTGCCGCTTGGCACAATGAGGACACTCTTGATGAGCGTTTTCCAGCAATACACAGTCACTGCACCCGCAAAAATGTCTCTGTGGAACAGGTTTGTGCCTCAGGCACACTTGACTCGAACCTGTTTGTGCCGTGCCTTTCAAACCAGGATACTTCTGAGTTCAGCCAGCTGCAGCAGATTGTCATTCAGACAACACTCAGTGACACCAGAGACAAACACTCGGCCAAGGGAAACTTGACTCCGGCAGCCTTTATCGTCTTCTGCAGTCCAGGAATGCGCCACCACACCCTGCTGCCAAGTTCATCTGGAATAGTCATGCTCCTCCAAGAGTTCAATTCTTTGTTTGGTTGCTCGTGCATGGCAGAATTCAGTGTAGAACAACTCTGTTCAGGAAAAATATTGTCGACTCGACTGTTTGTGAAATATGCAATCTAGGTGACGAAACAAGTACACACGTAGTCTTTGGCTGCCGCTTTGCTGAAGAATTCTGGGTGAAATTGGGAATTCAACCAGCACAGTCATCGAATGATGGATGCGTCTTCAACTTGACATGTCCAAACCACTTCCCAAGTAAGCACTTCAACACTTTCGTCGCCCTGTGTTACACTGTTACTAGAACTAGTGGAAACGTCGGAATGGGATCATTTTAAAAAATGAGGCACTCACACATCAATAAATGTTTCATCTCATCCACAACGACGCCAAACTGTGGAAGGACAGACTGCCAAACAGAGACAAAGTGATCGCTGATGCCTGGTGTAACCTTCTGTTGTCAAACATGTAGCCTAATACAAATGATGATGTAAAAGTTGTAAAGCTCGAACCATGATGGGTCCATTCTGGACCTGGATCAATGAAATTAAACTCAGGTCAGGTGGGGAGCCTTTCCCCCCGTTGACCCTAAAAAAAAATGGACAAACGCAGAGACAGGCAGGTGGGTTGACACTTGACAGAGACCCATTCAATTCAGCACACTATATATATCAAGCAGCAGGTTGTATATATTCAGATTATTAGGGGACAGGAGGGTATAGGGGGTGGCGTACGTGCCTGCACTTGGCTGAGGACGGGGAAGGTCTCGATGGATTTGTAACGGCGACGAAATCCACCATCCGGTGGCCGCACTCCCGCAGCTGCTCCGCGTCCATAGGTCGCAGCCACCCGGCACCATCGCCGCCGCTGTCGCCGTTCGTTCCACCGCTGCTCCCGCTACCGTCCCTTGGCAAAATTGAACGAATTCAGAAAATTGTCAAGAAATGGAGGAACAAAGCGAAGATACCAATGCAAACAAGACGAATCAAAACAACAAATTCATCAGGAGGCTGGAGGTCGAAGAACGAGGAAGAGTTTACATGCTTCAGAGGACTGGCGGCGCGATGGCAGGACGGGAGGCGGAGGCGGAGGCGACGAGACAGACGAATGGAGGGGTATGGATGGATCATTGGATCTTTTATCCGTACGGAGGTTTTGAGGTTGTTCCGCTTCGGGTGTGGTGCACTATAAATCTTTTTGGCATCATGTGCTAGAAAATATCGTATCTTCATTGCTAAGGACCAGGTTGTGTTCGAATCGCCGACGTTCGTATCAGGTGTAAACCAAAAATTTAAAAACTACGAACCATCAGATGCTGATTTAATGAATATGATGATAAATGGGATTTACTAGATGCTGATTTAATGAATATGGTGATAAATGGGATTTTTTTGCGCTTAAGTCCTCCATCTGCTAGTCTTTTTTTTACGCTTAAGCCCCCTTATTAGATTAGCATCTAGTGGTCCTGATCGGTAGTTTTCAAGTTTACACAGACTGATTGGTTTGCACCTGATGTTGCTTTACCCTTGTTCGTTTAAAATTGATTTTCACAAGAGCCGACAATTAAGCACAGTGCACATGTTTTTTTTACAGGATTGCCGGCGTCCGGACCGGCGGACAGACAGGCATCAGGGCCTTGTTTAGATCACCTTCAAATTCCAAGTTTTTTCACTTTTTCTCCATCACATCAATTTTTGGACACATGCATAGAGCATTAAATGTAGGTAAAAAAATAACTAATAACACAGTTTGGTTGTAAATCACGAGACGGATCTTTTGAGCCTAGTTAGTCCATGATCGGACAAAGTTTATCAAATACAAACGAAACGTGCTACAGTGTCCAGGTTGCAAAATTTTGCAATCTAAACAAGGCCCAGAAAACCCACATCTACGGCTGTTTTCCACACCTACTTGGGCCCGTGATGTCCTGAATGTTACCGGCATCGAGAAAGAGGGAAGGGGGTGACGGATGCCCAACTAGCGCTGAAAAGACAGTGACGGAGCACTCGGTAGGGCTAGGTGTCGCAGCAACCATACCTCAAATTTGTTTGACTCTTCTTTGTCCACGCCAAGTCATGTGTTATTTCTTAATCTTTTTTTTTTGCCAGTAATCAAGCTCTGTCAACTCTAAGCCACACCTTGGTTTTTACCTATCCTCTGTCACTACTCGAGGAGGAGATATCGAGACGAGACAACAAAAAGCAAACATAGAGATGCAATAACCGATCTACTTTCAAAACATTTAGATACAACACTTTGAACATACGTATGAAGGTAGATGAAACACTTAAAACATGCATCTGAAACACTTGCAAGACACATGAAAAACACTTGAAAACGATTGTAAAACATACGTAACATCCAGATAAAACACTTGTAACATATGTATGAATCATATGCAATGTTCAAATAAATACACTTGCAATATAGTCTGGAAAAACAGATGAAACATTGGGAACAGAAGCTTGCAACATATGTGTACAACCATTGTATCATGTGCAACATCATGATCTACTTTTGCAACATCTATAAAAAAACACTTGCACATACATGTGAAGCATTTGAAACACTTGAAACATGCGCTTGCAATATGCGCTTTTAGCACAATGTCACCTTACTGCTTGAACGAATGGAGGCTCATCATTACGGAGCACAACGCTGGCACAGAGGTCTACGGTGGCGCATGGAGCTCGCAGCGGCGCGGTGCGCGGAGGTCGACGGCGGCACGTGAAGCTCACATTGACGTGGGCAACTCACAGGCAGGTGGAGCGCGGCCGCGGCAGGAGACGTGGGCATAGGCGTATAGATCTCACGCAGCCCGCCACATGGAGCTCTACCCTATCTGAATCTGACCTTGGCAGCGGCCTCTTGGCACTCGCTAGCGGCTCACTCTAACGGCGGCGAGACAAAGGGTAGGAAGTGAAGGGGTGGCTACGCCGCGGGGGCACGCGGCGCGGGTTGGGTGGTCCGGTCCGTCCCCAGACACCCTATAGAAAGCATAACCGCTTTTGGCTAGTACTAGCAAAAATGCTCGTGTGTTGCAACAGGAGAAAAAAAACTATCAAACATTAATAGCAAACGAGGCATGAATGCTACATTTTACATTTTACTCTTTCTATAAAATTTAAAACCTATAATTTATTTTGTGATGATTTTAACATTCATCGTAATATGGCAATGTCCTATTAAGGCCCAATTTGGTTGAGTTGTGGCTGTGAGAAAAAAAATTGTAATGAATGTGAGCTGTGGAAAAACTGTTGTGGGCTGTGAGCTGTAGAAAAACTGAAAGCTGTTTGGTTAAACAAGTATAAAATATACCTTTTATCTTTATCTCTCTTGAAACAACTATGAAAAAGCTTTTTATTCCACCAATTTCGAAAAGCAGAAAGCCAAAAGCCAAAAGCAGGGTCAACCCAGCTTTCAAAAATGAACTACGGAAAAGCAGCTGCTTCTGAAAAAGCACCCTCCAAAAGCAGCCCTTTGGTTGGGCTTTTGGCTTTTGGCTTTTTTTTGGGGCCCAAAAGCCAAAGCCAAAAGCTCAACCAAACAGGGCCTAAGAGCAACTCCAATAGACTATTTATATCTTTTCTAATAGGTTTTGGCAAAAATCCCCTCCAACATGCTCGTTAATTGAATCTCCAAATATATACATCATCCATTTTAAATTTCTTGCTAGCCAAAGGTGAAGAGCGTGACTCTCTAGAGTGCACACATGATTTAGAAAAGTATTAGAGGGTGAAAAGATATAGAAAAGGATTTTGACAAATGACTTTCTAAATGATAATTTTAAGAGTAAATTTTAAATTAGATTAGTTGGCAATCTATTTAAGATTTCAGGTCATGATTCAATCAGTTGGAACATCAACTGATTTTAATAATAATAAGTTTTATTCTAGTTAAATTGCATCAACAATATATACAAAATGAAAATATTATTTTTTATGCATATGAGAAAAACAGGAGATACTCCATTTATATTTATATAAATTTTAAAAGAAAAATCATAGAACAAACAGCTCATGAAAGTCGGATGAAAAAAATGATCGAGGGTAAGGAAAAAAAGAGAGAAAAGTCATGAAAACAACAGCACATGAAAGTCCTACGAAAAAATGAATGCTCGCAAGAAAAATAAAAGGAGATAAGTCACTGAAGAGCGAGCAACACGATCCGACAAAAACGAAAAAAAACTGAAGCTAGCGGAACCACCGTCCGACAAAAAAGAAATGGATCGAGGAAAACTGGTGGCCAGGCCACTCATTAACAAAATTATTTAACGGCAAAAGTTTTGGCTCTTTAATATTATCTCATATGACTAAAAAGACTAAAAGTAAGACTATTTTTTTGTGCGATTTTTTTTATCGCTCCTCCCTTCCGGCCATGCGATACTCCACGCGATAGAAAAAGAAACTATTATCCCTGCGATCCCCGTCTACTTTGAAGGAAACAAATCGATCACCTGAGACCACATGCATAGAAGAAAATAATAATCATGCATGGAAGAAAACAATCGGCAAAGATCAAGCAAGACTCCTCCTTTCCGGCCATGCGATACCCCGCGCGATAGAAAAAGAAACTGTCATCCCTGCGATTCCCGCCTGCTTTGAAGGAAACAAATTGCGGCCATACGATACCCCGCACGATAGAAAAAAAGTACCATCCCTGCGATCCCTGTCTGCTTCGAAGGAAACAAATCGACCACCTGAGGCCACATGCATGGAAGGAAACAATAATCATGTATGGAAGAAAACAATTGGCAAAGATCAAGACTCCTCCCTTCCGGCCATGCGATACCCCGCGCGATAGAAAAAGAAATTATCATCCCTGCGATTCCCACCTGCTTTGAAGGAAACAAATCGATTACCTGAGGCCACATGTATGGAAGGAAATAATAATCATGTATGGAAGAAAACAATTGGCAAAGATCAAGCAAGATGACTCAATGATGTTGTCTGTTAATTTTAGTGTTTCCAGCATGCAGACCTGAAATAAAAAAGTGGCTCCTCCTGAAGAACATCAGTGGTGCCAAATAAAAGATGTGTATGTTATACATGGTGAGACTGGTGAACCTTCTGTAATTTTCTAAACGAATATTCCCACCATTCGTATATAGCTCCATTCCCTTGCGTTTCTTCGTGCTCCAATTAGCATATAATATGAAAGTATTGTTGTGTTCATGACGACTTCCAGTTGACTACTCTCATTAGCATATACTTTCTCTGCCCCAAAATATAAGTTGTTATGGGATGTGTGCAGGTCAAACTTTCTCAACTTTAACTAGGTTTGTAAAAAATATGTGCAACATTTATATCTCCAAATAAGTTTATTATGAAAATATATTCAATGGTCCATGTAATGATACTAATTATGTATTATAAATATTAATATTCTTTTATATATAATTGGTCGAAGTTAAAAAAAGTTGACTTCTCGGGAAGCGAGAATAAATTTTATTTTGGGACAGATGGAGTATGCAAAAACAGAGTTGAAAATAGTTTAACAATCAAGTTCGTCTCTGTCTGATTGGTAAGCTTAGACATCGTAAAGGCATCAAAAATTTTGATTCTCATGAACACCCTCATGGATCAGTGCAAATCATCCTAATTCTATAGCATACACAAATGGCAACCTTAAAGTTATGATATTTTCAAAGGGTGGACAATAAAGACCATCTTAGATGTTCTAATATTAGAGTATATACGTGCAGACACATAGGCATGGTGGTGCAAGTGAGCAGCCATCAGGAGTTGAAAGTTAGGGAGTGTTTGGATCTCATGACTAAACTTTAGTCCCTATCACATTGAAGTTTTAGATATCAATTAGGAGGATTAAACATGAG